CACACACACCAGGCGCGCGGCTCACTGACGTGCGTCTGGCTAAAGGTCTGCGCTGATTGGCCTGATTTACTCAATAATTACTCCTTTATTATAAATAATAGAAAAAAATGATTCAGGACTTTTCGACTCAGTTTTACTCCTTCTACCTACCTACGAGAGATTGTACGGCAATTCTGGGACACCTTGTATATATAGACACACACACACACATATAGTATATACAATATATACAAGATATACATATACATGTGTGTGTGTGTGTGTGTGTGTACATATATATATATATACAGGGTGTCTGACAACAAACTATCAAGTCGACGTGTGTATGCAGATTAGGTCAATTTGAGCAGAAAAATTATTTACCAGTTTGCAAATTTTGCAATAGTTATTGAGATATGAATTAATAAATGTGAGCCAATGGAGCAATGATCGGACTCTACAGGCGTGCACAATTATTAGGTCTACTCGCTCACCGCTGCTCGCTGCGTAGCCGAATAGCGCCTGATTGCAAGAAGTTGAGTCGCGTCGTGCTTGTTTGTTTTACTCCGCCTCTCATTGCTAAGACATTGGGTGCTTTCCAACTACGTACACAGGCGACACTGTGTAACACTGTGTCCACTAGTGTGAATGAGACACACTGATATGCTCTTTCTCACACTAATGGACACTGTGTTACACAGTGTCGCCTGTGTACGTAGTTGGAAAGCACCCATTGCATGAGAAATCATTTTTCTTTCCAGCTGATAATCGTGCACTCCTATAGAGTCCGATCATTGCTCCACGCGCGCTCATTGGCTCACATTTATTAATTCATATCTCAATAACTATTGCGAATTTTGTAAACTGGTAAATAATAATTTTCTGTTCAGATTGACCCAATCTATCTACACACGTCGGCTTGATAGTTCGTTGTCAGACAACCTGTATATGCACCATATACAATTAATGAATACTAACGTCCAAATACTTAAATTTATGTGCAAATTGATTTTATATTGTTATAATACAGTTGTGCTAAATGTATTTTTAGAAACCGTTATGGGTATTTCTTTGCGTAGTCTTGACACGTTTGAGAAACAGTATCGGAAAGCAGTACATGATATAGGTGATCTTGTGATACACAGGTAATTGATGCGTATGTACATATACAAAGTATCCGTAAAATTTTGACACAGCCGAAGTATAGAGATAGATTGAGTCGAACTGAATAGAAAAGTGATTTGCCATTTTGCAAAATTTGCAATAGTTAATGAGATACAAAGTAATAAATGTGTGCCAATAAGCGCGTAAGAAGCGATGGTCCTGACTCTGTAAGCGTGTGTGATTGTCAGCTGATCGCGGAAACCAGTGGCTTCTTAAGCCTGTTCTACATTGATCGCAAACGGAAGGAATAGGTCTGGTAGAATTGACTAATCGTATTGATCAAATCAGCCAATTGACCAGCGTGATTGGTCAATTCTACCTGAATGATTCTACCTAAATGATAAATGGGAGAATAAAATGGAGGGAGTAGAATCGATTTAAAGAGAAGAGAAGTAGAATTATTAATTGAGAATCCTCCTCAAACTCATATGACAATATTATTTCCAATATATGGAATTGTCGATAATAAATTTGTAATTACAGTTTTCCCTCAAAAAGATATTTGTCCTCATGGTAAAACATATCCTAAAAATGCTGTTGCTATTGATAATAAGAGATCTATACCTTGCGTTTGCGCTTGCGATCAATGTAGAACGGGCTTTATCCCACGCTCCTTTGCGTACCGCCGAATATCGGCTGACCGCGTAATCAGCCGAGTTACACGCCACGCTCGTTTGTATTCTCTGCATCTCGTTGCTCTGACAGTCACACACCTACGCCTGCAAAGTCAGAATTATCGCTTTTTACGCGCTCAACGACACCCATTTATTACTTTGTATCTCATTAACTATTGCGAATCTAGCAAAATAATATAAGACTTTTCGATTCAATTTTACTTTTTCTATCTGTCTACAAGAGATGTTATACCAATTCTGGGACGTATATATATTTATATTCTAATTTAGTATACAGAGTGTCAAAAAATATGTCTGTTCAAATTGAAAATAGAGAGAAATATTAATAATCTTAGAAATCTAGTATCAAACTCACAATTTCAAAATGTGCAAAATTTATATGTACATATATGTATATGTATTATGGATGTCTTATGAAAACCGTATCACCGTTTGTAAGCAAGTAGAGTTATTCTGAGTCGAAAAGTCCTAACCCATTTGTGTCTATTACATATATATGTGTCCCAGAATTGGTGTGATGTCTCTTATAAACAGGTAGAAGGAGTAAAACTGAGTCAAAAAGTCCTATATCATTTTGCTAGATTCGCAATAGTTACCGAGATCTTAATTAACAAAAATCAATGAATAAGCATGCATCGAGCGCGTAAGACAGCCCGGCGCGCTTTGCGCGCTTACGAGGAGCTAATATAACAGCATATAATATAACATATACATAGTAAAATGTAATCGTGTGAAGCGCGCTGGGTTGTCCTACGCGCGTATGACAGCCCGATGTACGCTTATTCGCGAATCTTTATTAAAATCTCGATAACTATTGCAAATCTAGCAAAATGGTATAGAACTTATCGATTCAGTTTTACTCCTACCTGTCTACGAGAGATGTTATACCAATCCTGTACCTGAAGTAACGTGATTATTATGCGCAGAATCTTCTCTCCGTGGCTGTTTCCCGATTTGATGTTCGCATTATCTCCAACAAATAGAAAGCAAACTAAGTTGTTAAAGATATTACATGGATTTACTGAAAAAGTGTGTACAATAGTTTTTTTCTGATTACTTTTCTTTACAAATACAAAAATACTCACATATATATATAGTATCGTTAGTAGCACAAACGTTTCTGCAACGGGTTTTCTGAAACTTAGCAACGTTTCGTTAAAAGTCTCTAAAACGTCGTAGTAAAGTAGCAGAGACGTCAAAATGTTTGCTTTTTACGTTGCGGTCCGATGTCGCAGAAACATATAAGAAACGTTGCCCGATAAGTTGCAAAGTTTTTAATGTTTAAATTTTTATAAACATTGTAAAATACATTTTTGATACCATGCAAATTTTGCCTGCTTAACCATTCTCCAGGAAGGAGTTATAAATTAATTAATTGTGTGTGAGTGATTAATTAATTAATCACTCTTTCCTGGAGAATGATTAACTCGAGAGTAGTCATTTGGGGTGTTTTTTACATCTCAGCGTCGAAAAAATGAAGCTCACGTCACAGCAGTTTTTTTTACANATCGGAAATCCACACTCACCTTTTAATCAAACCTTTCGAGTCATACTCTGCACAATAGAAAGTGTTTATGTCTTATACATTGATAGTACGAAGCTATTGAAACTTGCTGAGGTGTAGAAAACACTCCAGGTGACTGCTTGTGTAACTATACAAGTTCGAATATGATAAGAGAATAAAGTGTAAATATGAAATAATAATATGAGTTAAAAAGAACATAAGATGACGTTATAAATACTTATATTAGAATAAATAAATAAATAATAATATATAGGTATAACAATTTATATATATATAAAATAAGAAAATTAACTATATATTGAAGGAAAAACAGATATGTAAAGATTTAGAAAATAACAAATAATAAATTGTTTTAAATTTTATAAAAAACATAAACTTTTGAGGATAAATCAATTATTCCTGTGAACATTTCGACGTTTCCTTACTACGACGTTTTAGAGACTTTTAACGAAACGTTGCTAAGTTTCGGAAAACCCGTTGCAGAAACGTTTGTGCTACTAACGATGCTATGTAGGTACATGTAACAAAAAATAGAATTAGGATATTATTCAAAATATTGTCTCTATTTGTATAGATCATTAGGGAAAGAAAACTTTATCACGAACGCACAGAGGATCGATATTTAAAAAGCACTGAAAGTAACACATTGACAGAAACAGATGACGCAGAAGTGATCGGAAGTATGTAACGCAGTCAGTTAATGTTGATGCTAAAATTTTATAAAAATATAAGAAGTGAAAATCTAATATTTCTTTGTTATATATATAAGAAATGTCACATAACTGTATATATTTGTTTACCTTAGTTCGTAAAAAGCGACTCGCTATGTTGGATCTTCTAATAGCGGCATCTCGAGAAAATGATATAACCGATTTGGACATCAGAGAGGAAGTTGACACCTTCATGGCCGAGGCACGTATAATGTTTAATATGCGCCCAATTTGTTTTTTCTTAGTACATTCAGATACATATAATTACTGAGAAATAGATACGTATAATTACAGGGTCACGATACTACGGCAATGGGTGTGTGTTTTGCTTTACTATTATTAGCTGAGCACAAGGATATTCAGGTATTTTGTGATCAATAAATATGACAAAGAACCGATTACGTCATTCTTTGTTTTGGTCGGTTTTCTATGAAACTATTTTTCTCTATATTTAATTAATTCTAAACGAAATTAGTCAGAGATTATATCTTTTAAAAGTAATTACAAATAAATAGTCTCGTAAAATCATCTCAAAACCAACAAAAACGTTTATAATGAAAAGTAGCAGAATACCATAACTTTCAACAATTTATACAGGATCGTGTCAGGACTGAAGTTAATGATGTGATGGAAGAAACTAAAGGAAATTTGACTATGGCGTCTTTACAAAAGCTACCGTACTTAGAGAGATGCTTGAAAGAAGCGCTGCGATTATATCCCAGTGTGCCTACCATATCACGCACTCTTGCAGAAGATATAAAATGTCGTACGTATATTAGTGCGTTGCGATATAGATTTTTAATATGTCATTATCATAGATTATGTTACATTGTTATACGTTATTGTCGTGCAAGTGTATACATGTAAATATTATTTTTTGTTCTCTAATAGAGTCGTACATAGTGCCGGCTAATGTATACGTGACTATTGATATCTACGCCGTCCACAGAGATCCTAATTTCTGGCCGAATCCGGATGTATTCGATCCGGATCGATTTTTGCCCGACCAAGTGCAAAATCGTCATCCTTATTGCTACATACCGTTTAGTGCGGGACCGCGAAATTGCATAGGTAAATTGCGCTCTTCGTTCGTTTTTCAGACGAGAAAACAATTTTTTTGATTTACTGTGTGTGCGGCAGGTCAACGGTTTGCTATGTACGAATTGAAAGCTATGATCGCACCTCTGGTACATCACTTTTACCTGGAGCCTGTTGATTACTTGAGAAATGTTCAGTTAAAGATGGATATGATAATTCGTCCTGCTCATCCAGTTCGTGTAAAATTTGTGCCGATCAAAAAAAAACAATGAAATTAAAATAAAAACAGAAATGATATAGCAAGAGGTTATGGGAAACGCTTGTGTTTTACTCAATACTAACAAAGTACATTAATGTATTTGCAAAACGGTATATTATTTTTTTACATATTTTTCTTGGCAAAAAAAGTTCTGCATACACAGACAATTTTGATATCTATTTACATACACTTATGTACGAGACTGAATATATAGTCTCATATATAATTATATCGATTGCATAATTGCGTATATAAGTATGCATAATCAGATAAAAAAGTTGTCTACATATAAAATACTTTTTTTTCTATATAGTTTCAAAGCGAGAATGTCAAAGAGCAAAGTTACGTTATACTGTATGCAACAAAGCAATTACTTTATGAATTATAGCTTAAGAAGTAACCAGATGTAATGATTTATATAAAGTGTACTTATCTAAAAATAATTAAAATACAATTATTGAAATTAGCGAAAGTGCATCGTTTTACTCGTATTCACATTCTCTTGATTCTTTGTGATAAAAACATTTTGAATGTCTACATACACATAGTATGTGTAGTTCTTCATGCCTTGATAGATAACGGTAAGATATCTATCTTTTATAATATAGAGGATCAGATTTATGAGACAGAGACTTTTTATTGAATGTAGAAAGATCTTATGTTTTTTTTTTAATTTTAAAACTAAAAAAATCAAAAGTTTAATTAATAAAATAATTAGAAAATAGAGATACATAAAAACCTACTCGCTACGTTTAATTTTACACAGACTCATAAATGCCACGTAGCATGTTTTTTAGTAACAGCTATTTCATATACATATTTAATAACCTAGATATATACCGATATGTTTCAAAAATTTTAACACAGCCGTAATATGAAGTTAAATTAGGTCGATCTGAACAGAAAAGTCATTTACTATCTTGCAACATTTGCAATATTTATTATCATTTTAGACTTTGGACTTTAACGCGCATAAACAAATATATATATTAGAAGATATATAGAAGTAAGCCGTACGCAAGCATCGTGTATAAATTGTATTATATAATAGAATATACTATATTACGTATGTAACATTGTATACACGAGATATACGCGACTAAAAGCTAACAGTGACAATCTGAATAGTCTCATAGTTCACTTGCCACGAAAGACTTAATGTTTTTTATATTTTGTTTAGATATTGCGAAATATTTATATTTTAGAATATTGAGACAAAAATCAAAAGAACTGAAAAAAAAACGTTATCAAAATTATTAAGTTTACATATTATGAAACTTATTAATTTTATATATTATTCAAAATATTACACTATTTATGTCAATAACAATATCATTATTAAAATTATGTTGTATTTGTTATTTTACAAAAAAATGTTTGAAAAGTTCTACCGTTTAATTTAACATCGTTGTTTCACAAAAACTTTTAACTTGAAAAAGTTTGTTAGAAATTACAGGATTAAAAATAGATTTTGCAAATTTTATTTTCGAAATTCTTTATTTACTTGTAAAAGTATTTGCTGCTTAATAGTATCATAAATATCTGCGATGTAATAGTAATAAAAATTTTAGTTTTGAAAGTTGGTATTTAATTTTAAAAGAATTTGATGTTCAATAGTATCGTCACATAAATGTCCGCGATTTGGTGTTAACACGGAACCGCCGACGCTAAACATACACAGTTTGTCCGGAAAGTTCCCGGACTACGTGAATTAAAAATCGAAAATGAAAGATATGGTTTATTAAACAAGTTTACACTTCAAG